TGCATTGGGGCGGGTCGTTATCCCGACCTCGTTTTCGTCCGCGCGCTAGGGAGGAGGGGAGGAGGAGGAGGAGGAGGAGGAGGGGGAGAAGATGAGGACGAGGACGGGAAGGCTCCTTGGGGCCTTCTTGGGGCCTCCTGGGAGATTCCTGAAAGGTTCTCGGGTGTCTCTTGGGGGCCACATGTGGCCCTTGGGGGGCCTCTCGGGGCCTCTTTGGCCGTCTTAGGGGGCTCATGGCTCAGACTGTTCGGGCCGTCGGAGGCGGTCGGAAGCCCGAAGAGGCGAGAGCCTCGAACTCCTTCAAACACCGAAGGCACATCAACGGTTTGGCCTCCTTGAGCTCTCCAGGAGTGCCTTTTGTTGCTCTCTTGGGCCGTCGTTGGGGCTTATTGATCTGTCTTGAAGCTGTCTTGGGAGCCCTTTGAGCCTTATTGGGCCATCTTGATTTCATCTTGGCTGCCTTGAAAGCCATCCTTGAAGCCAGGAGGCTCCCAGAAGACCTCAAGACAGATCAAGAGGCCCCCAAGACGGCCCCAGGGGGTTCCAAGAGGCCCTCCAGGAGCCCGAGGGGGCCAAAACCATTAATTTTCCGAAGGTTTGTGAAGGGTCCTGAAGGAGGCCAAGATCACCTCCTGACCGTAAGTTGGTGAAGGATCTTCAGGTTCTGGCAAGGTTGGCTTTCGGACCTCCCAAGACGGTGAAAGAGGCCTCTCTGGGCCGCTTTCTTGCTCTCTTGGAGCGCGTCAAGGCCGTCTTGGGGCCCTCGTGGGTCCTCTTGGGCGCTCTTTGGGTCCTCTTGGGCCGACTTGGGGCCCTCTCAGGGGCCTCTTGGATCGTTTTAGAGCTACCTTGTAGCCCTCTTTGGCCGTCTTCGGCGGTCGGAAACCCCAACAGGCGACAACTTCGAAATCCTTCAAACACCGACGGAAACTTACTGGTTTGTATTTTGAACTTCTTAGTCCGTATTGGGGACCTCTTGGGCCGTCTTGAGGCTCTCTTGGGAGCCTCTTAGGCCGTTTTGAGGCTGTCTTGAGAGGCTCTTCAGATGTCTTAGGCCATCTTGAGCCGCTTTGGTTTTGTCTTCGCTGTCCTGGAAGCCGTCTTGGAGGCCATCTTGGCCATCTTGAGGCCCGAGAAAGCGCCGGGGAGCAAGTTCAGAAGGGGCGATTGTTTAATCCGCGTCGTGATGCAGGCAGGGGGGGTCGGCTGTAGAAAACAGACGCCCACTCCGCGCAGGCATGGTGGCGAATCCTTTCCAGATTTGCGATCGTCGATGGCCAGCTGGCCCCGCGAATAACTTAGCACACTGCAATAATGGGCCTTCTGGGACTTCTCTGGGAAGGGGCAGGAGCCTTCGAAGAGGCTCCCGCCTGCTCAGAGGGCCGCCCTCCTCGCCATGCATCCTCGTGCGCGCCGCCAGAAGGGGAGACTCGCTGGAGCACTTTTGCCAGAGGCTGCGCCACCCCGGGAAGAGGCGAAGCCCTCCCAGCACAGAGCAGCCCCCGCGGCGTCGCCGATGCAGAGCGCAGGCGCGGCCCCTGGGCCCCTGCTTGTCCACGCCGTGCGTCACGCCCAGCGCGGCACTCGCCGCGCCAGGCGGACGAGGAGGAGGAGGGATGCGGCAGGCTCGCTTCGCCCTGACGCGACGGCGACGTTGGCGCGGGCGCTCAAGGCTCAGCACCCACATGGCGTCCGCTGCAGGCACCGAGGGCCAGCGGGAGCGAGCCCGCGCGCGGCGTGGCATCCACGCGACAGGTGGGGTCCGAGAGCCTCTGGCCGAAGGAGGAACACACGCATGAGCACAACTTGTGCCAGGTCCTCGCAGATTTCTTGGGTCGGCGCCGCAGCCCTCTGGCGGCGCTTCGCGCGCCGGTGCTGGGGGTCCAGCGCCGATCCCAGAAATCCGCGCGGACACCAGCAAGTTGGTGTTTCTGCAGTTCGTTATCACTGTGAAGTCCTTACGGCCAGCGCCGCCGACCCTGAAGGCGGTACCTCCCCTGGGATCCCGGGGCCGGGGCCGGGGCCGGGACCGCCCCCCACAGGGGGAATTCTTCCTTGTCTCCTTGTCCGCGAGCGGGACGGGACCACCCGCCGGGACCCCCAGGGGGGCGGTAATGTGATCTTGGCCCCCTCTCCAAATCCCCCTTTCTCCCACCCCCGTCAGGGAAGGGAACAAGGGAATGGAATCGGCTTTACTACGACGTTTCTTGTCTCTGTTCGTTCCTCAATGTTCTTGGGACTGGCGACGACAACGACGTCAACGACGATGGTGACGACGACAGCGTCTCACACACGGCAAAGGGTCGGCGGATGTTCCTCCTTCTTCTATTTGGTGACCTCTGAGGGCTGAGATCGCTTCAAGAGGGAGTGGTCCACGCGCGTTGCTCAGAGGCCAGGGCCCACGGTCGTCAAGGCCGGGGCCCACCGCGGTGCTCAACAGCGGTGTTGAGCTAAGGCTGGGGCCTTCTCGAGGCCCTGTGAGAGGCTGAGGGCTGGCAGAGGTCCAACAATCGGGTAAGCGGACGGAGGCAAGCAGGGCCAGGCAGTATGGGTCTCAGGGCTGGAGGCTCGTCGTGTGGGGGGGTGTTCTCGATTTGCATTTTGCTTCGCATCGATTTGAGTTTCGACTAGTGTTTCGATGCGTGCGTAGTTCGACCCGCCCCTGGTTGCCAGCCTGCTCCGGGCGCGGGCGGCTGGGCAGGACCTGGGGCAGATCCTCCCGTACCTGGACCGGCTGGCGGAGGCGCGGCGCTGCCCCGTCCAGCGGGCGGCGCGCTTCGGCAGGGCCTCGCCCCTCGTCACCGCGTCGCATCGGGTCGGATCGATCCGCGGGGGGTCGTGGCGGCATGCGCGGGCCAGGTGTGCGTGGTCGTTCGCGTGCCGCCCTCCCGCCCGCGTGCGCACGAGGGTCGAGTCGCGTGACGGGCCGGCAGTTGCGGCCAAGCGGCGGGCAGGCGTCGACGAGCACGCAGGTGGGTGGCGGAGCGGGTGGGCGGGCAATGGGAGGCAGTCATTTCACCTCACACCACGCGCAAGTTGTCCTTCTCGTCGGCCCTCCAGCTCTTTGTGCCAGTGTAGTATGGGGTATGGGTATGGATCTGGTAGCGGAGATGCGCCTCTCGGGCCTACCTTGCGAAGCTCTGCGTGAATTCGCCTCAGCGCTGTCCAGGGCTCATTCGGTAGTATTGCCGATCGACACAGGATCGCAAACAAGACGGATCGTTGTTTTTCTCGAGGGGTTTGGCGCCAGAGCGTGATGATGACCGCGCCTAGCGTTTCGGGGATCTTGTTTTACAAAGAGGGTTCTTGAGCAAACACGGTCGCCATTTTGGCTCAAGGGTCAAGCCTGCGCCTTGGGGTTTGAACATGGGTCTCTGCCGACGGGGAGGCTCAGGCGATCGGGCATGAGGCCCTGTTTCACTTTCCCACGTGCTGATTGCACGCGTTACCTCATTTTGTGCGACACCAGCAGTGATGGTCAAGCGGGTGACCGTCGTAAGCAGTGCAGCCAGGCCTCGGACTCGCTGCCCCCGCGCGGCAGCGGAAGCTTCTCCGACGCAGCAGACACCCCCTTTATGGCGGTGGAGCTGGAAAGGGTGAGCCCAAGAGAAGGTACACCAGATCGAAACTTATCCCAGTGCGACCCTACCTAGGAGTTGGAGCATTTAGGAAAGCAACATCTACATCTACACCGACAGCTACATTTACAGCTACACCTGCATCTACATCTACATCAACATCAACAGCGAGACTCACATCTACATCTACACCTACGTCTACACCTACTTATACATCTACATCTACATGCTATGCTATGGCATGATCTGCTATGCTGCGCTGTGCTATTCTGTGCTGCGCTATGCTATGCTATGCTGTGCTATGCTGTGCTGTGCTATGCTAAGCTAAGCAATGCGTTGCTATGCTATACTATGCTATGCTGCGTTATGCTTTGCTATGATATGCTATGCTATGCTATGCTATGCGTGGCTATGCTATGCGATGCTATGATGTATTAATGCTGTGCTAAGCTAAGCTAAGCTATTGTAAACTAAGCTAAGCTAGGCTAGGCTAAGCCAAGCCACGTTAAGCTAAGCTTAGTTAGGCTAAACTAAGCTAAGATGAGATAAGCTAAGCTAAGCTAAGCTAGGGTAGGCAAAGCTAAGCTAAGTAAGCTAAGTTAAGATGGGTTAAGCTAAGCTGAGCCAAGCTAAGCTGGGTGAACCCAGGGGGCGCAACTGGGGTAACCGCGGGGCGGATGCCGGGGGAACCGCCCGGGGCGGGTAGCACTGCCCGGCCCTTTAAGCCAAGAGAGTAAGAACCCTTCTAGGCAGAGCCTAGGTAAGGAAAAAGCTTTCGGCCATGACCAAGGGAACGCCCCGTGGTGGAGGCCGTGAAGGTGGCGGTGGTGAGCAACATGCGCAGGAGGGCACGTATCGTCTCGGACGCTGCCTTTTTGGGCCTCTTTTGGGCCTTTTGGTGGCCTCTTGAGACCTCTTTGGCGCCTCTTAGGGCCTCCTTGGGGCCAATTGGGGCGGAAAGTTCGGATTTTCGGTTCGTGTTCCCTCTCTTGCGCTCTTTGTGGGGTCCTCTGGAACTGCCTTGGGCGCCTATTGGGCCGTCTTGGGGCGCGCTTATGCCGTTTTGGGGCCCTCTTTCTTGATGGCCTCTTGAGCCGTCTTGGGGTGGTCTTGGGAGCTGCTTGGGCCCTCTTGGAGTGTTAGGACACAGAAAAGGCGAGAACGTCAACATTCTTCAAAAACCGATGAGGGAATCAAAGATGTTTGCCTCTGCGGGCCCTCTTTGGAGGCCTCTTGCTGGCCTGTCGGGGGCGTTTTGGAAGCCTCTCGGGCGTCTTGGTGCGGTCGTTGCGTCTCGGGCCCCAATGACCGTCTTAGGGGGCCTCTTGGGGCTCCCTTGGGCCCCGAACAGTCATTCGACAATGTGCGCTGGAACCCAGGGGGCACGCTGGGAGCCCCAAGAGATTCGAGAATTCGGTCCGTAGCCATTTTAGCTCAAGCCGCGTGGCTCAGCAGGCGTGCCCGCTGAGCTAGGCGCCGCGGCTGCCGAGCCGTCGCACGAATCTCTGTTGTGGTTGCGCAGACCTACTGCGTGCCCGTCGGGATGGCAGGGAGCGGCGCTGATGAGACCGGCAGGCTTCTCTCGGACCCAGCTGGGGGGGCGGCAGGGCACCCCGAGGACAGGCCTGAGGACCACGTGGACAAACCTCAGGAGCGCGGGCGACAGGAGTCCAGACCGTATTTTCTCGGGTGCTATCCGTTCTTCGTCGGTGAAGTCTTGGAGCTGAAGAACAAGGAGAAGAAGGCGACGCGTGCACACTGCGTTGGCCCTGTCATGGCTCTAGCACTCTGGTGTCCAGTCATACATGCCCTCGTGATGTTCTCGTTCATGGGGCTGGGCCTCATGATAGGGAGAAGGAGCCAGACAGGGGGCACCCTTGACCTGGCCTACCCAAAATTGTGGCTTGCGCTGGCTGCTTGCACGTGCTTTGCCTTGATGTGCCTCGAGGTTCACATCGCAAAGTATTCGAGCACATGGTACAGCGACAAGGCACGTAATCAGTCCAAGAATAATGGCCAGATTGGATGGCCGTGCATGCCCGTCCATATGCTCGATGGCTTGTTGCGTCGTTGTTGCTCCTCTTCGTCCACGTGGAGCAAATTCCAGGACACATGGTATTTCCATGTATGGTTTATTTGGCTCTTTGGGCTAGGCACTGTGACTTTGTACAGCCGACTTCAGGCGAACGCATTTTTGGGGGTGTTTGTCTACGGCTACTTTCATCAGGACAGGTCGGCCGTGGTGTCTTTAGTCTGGCAGGAGACGTTGCGCCAATCGCGTTTCATACGTGAGTACTTCCCGCTTTCGGCCATACTCCTTATCATGTTCATCGCGCAGATCCTCCACTACGCTTTCGGCGTGATAAATTTCTGGCCCCGCTGCGGGTGGAAGACGACAGACCACAAGCGGTGGCAAACGGATCCGACAAGTGATCGCTCGAAGTGGATGGCTTGGGGGAGGAGTTTTGAGTTGGAGGTCAAGGGAATGGATAACCTTGAGAAAACCATCACAGACCGAATCGAGTGGGACTTTTGGAGAGGTAGTTTCAAGGGCGGATTCGTTGAGGCGCATCGCCCAGCTGGTGAGATCTCGCTCTCAGGCCCTCCAGGCGGACCTTTGTACAGTGGAGGGCACCCCTACGAGCCATCCGAGGAAGACTTCCCACTTATCATAAAGTGGACAAGTAACAGGTTCGCATACACCACCTTGACTGGTGCAGAAGCAACCTCGTCCACAGTTTTGGACGGGGTCGCAGAGTGCTGCAGCATGTCTATCATGTTGGAAATGCACAAGTTGGAGCTGAAGGATTGGAGGAAGGCGAATGACTTACTTGTCAAGTACGAGGATCGGGTGAAGGTGCATAATAATGCCCCCACAGAAAAGATGTCAGGTGCACTCATCCAGGAAGTGCGAACGCTCCTTAACGATGCTGTCAATGTCACGCGGTGTGCCTTCTCACGTATCTTCATTTATGGTGTCTGCTTCTGTGGTGTTCATCTCCACTTCCAGGTCACATATACCAACGCACTCTGTTCGGGTACGAAGCATTGTCCAAACGCCCAGAAGGCCCTCCGGCTCGGAATTGCTTCAGCTCTCGTGTCAATGTTGTTAGTTCTTGCCAAGGTTGTCGACATCACCAGGTACTTGTGTACTGTATTGGATATTCTCCGGCGCTATGGAGAAGTGCTTCATCCTGAACACGCGACATTGAAGCAGTTGCAATCCATGTTGAATCAAATCCGTGTGTCCAAATTCAGGCTAATAGGTTGGTCTGTTTTAATGGTGCCAGCGTGTTTGACGTTTGTCTGGAACTTTTCGTGGTTATGTGCCAAGTGGGCTATGGATAGTTTTGTTTGTCCGAGCCACATGTGGAACGTCCCTGCTCTGATGGAGTTAACGAACCCAGTGAGCGGTTGCGTCGATCTCAACGACACAACCTTCTCGGTGTCATAGACCGACAACAGATATTGTCGTCATACACTGTGCTTTGTGTCTTGACCACCAGTCTGGACCAACGCTCCCAACAGTTTAGTAGCGTATATGTTATATGCGTTTGTTTCGCGGGGTTGCTTTCCAAATCTATGATTTCATTATCTGGGTTACGTGTGATTTCACTATACATACATATATATAACCACTGTAAATCAAAGATGGCGCTCCCCCAGAATTTCTTGTTACGCAATGGATGCCCGAGGCGGTAATCTAGTTGTGCCCCTCCTCGCATATACGTTTTTCCAGTGCTGCCGTTGATGACATTTGAAGCCTTCGTTCCAGGAAGCCCCAGCAAATCTGACCTGAATGTTTCACCTCCAGCGAATGCGTTGCCCCCAGCGAATGCGTTGCGAACGTAGCCGGCCAAGGAGCTCGCTTTTGCCTTCCGCTTGCTGTTCTGGGGTTGCCCTTCCGCGAGGCTGGAGGTCTACGAACTGCAGGGGCTCGGCTCGCACTGCGAACGGCTGCTCGTGGTCGACCGGAGTTCTGGCGACTGCGCTCGAGCAGCGCTTGCCGCCCGCCCGTTCCGCTGATGACTAAAAAGAGATTCGAGAATTCGGGATCTGGGCCCCTTAAAGACATCCCAGGAGTGGTTGGGGGATCCGGCGAAGGACTTGAGGACACGCCCACTCCGTGCCCAACGGCACGGTGGGGGATGCTCTCGTGATCATCTTTTGTGCCACGTTGAGGTGTACACGACGGGGGCGGACATCGAGGCGCAAAGCTTGTTCGAATGTATTCACTGTTCTGCTGGGTCAATCGGCGGTCACAGTAGCCGTCCAGGACAAAACTGATGACAAGAGCATTGCGAGTCCAAACCATATGTTTGCACGTGTTGTTGATTGCCAGCGTGTGTTTAGGCAGATTTCAATAATCATTTGAGAGAACCAGCGGTTGTTTGCGCCTCCAAACTGTGTGCTCTTAGATCTATGGAATTTCGTTACTTTTTTGGTTTATTCTATTGTCCATCGGCTGACATACTTCGAATGAGACTATCCATCACGGTGGTTCGAATTGTACCGTTCACCATTAATGTCGTCGCAAGGTCGCCAACCATGTTAAGATACGTGAGAGACCCCACATGGAACAGAGAGGCGGCGCATGGTCGGCAAACTGTAGTGTGCCGTGATGTGTGGCAGCCCTGGTTGGTTGACGCGCTCGCATCTGCCCTCGTGACCCTCGGTGCCCTGTCCACCCGAAGGTCGGGGGCACGGGTGGTTCCAACACAAAGCAGGCCTTGTTGGTGTTGAGCGGCGTCGTTGCCATGTCTTTGCCGGTGTTCCTCAGCGGTGGTTTCTGCTCCAGCCGTGGGTGCACCGCGAAACGCTTTCGGGCCTGCTCACCCGATTTATTTTTTTCGTTCGCACAGGTGTCTCTCCTCGCTCGCCCGCTCCGTTTCCATTTTTCCTCTCGAGTTACGCTACGCTCAGCCATACGCCGAAACGCGTGGGCAAAACAGAACCAGAAGTAGGACGTTCAGGTATTGGGCATCACATGCAACGTACGTGCAGAATGCTGCAGGTAATCGCCTTCATCATCGCAATGGGTTGCAACGGTTTTCGCAACAGTTAGCCATGCGGTGGGATCTTGCGGGCGCTGCAACCAAGCGTGTATCAGGCCAAAATGATCAGACAACAATTTGTGTAAACATGTCGCCCGTTCGTGTGTAGGTCCGCATTGTTCGTAGGGTGCGCATCCACGCCTAACCGAACGCTGCCGGACTGAGACGAAACACCGAAGAATGTTTGAATTTCGGATCTTGGCCAATTTCACCGAATATTGAAGTGCTCTGCTTGCCCTGACACACTGTCAGTATTCATTCGCGTACGAAAGGTGGGGCTATATGTAGTCTTCATCGCAGGCATCTGGCTTGAAATATATCCAACTTTCTCCTCTTCAGTGTGATTTAACCACGCCGCGCTGTAAAGCTATACGTGAGTTCGGATGTCCACAATGCTCGGGCGTTCGGAAACGATCCGGTTGTCGCCGCTTGCACAAACCAGTGTGTTTTTTATATTCGGAGAATTTTGACACATGGAAGAATTCAACCACATCCTCCGGGGCAAATACGCGGTCGATAACCACTGTCCTATTCGGCATTCGTCCCGCTTAATCAGGCTGTCCCTTTTAATCGGACTCCTGCGTCAGTGGACGCTCAGTCGGGTTTGATGGCTTTCACAATCCTCCTGGGAATTGCCTCCGAATTTCTGGGAGGGGGCCCGCCCGCCAGGTATGCGCGGCCGACGTGGTGGCGTACGACTATCCCGGCTACTGCGACAGTGGGGGGCAGCCTTCCGAGGCCGAGCCGCCGCGCGGCCGCACCGCTGCCCTGGACGTGGCCCGTGTCGCCTTACCCCAGGCTCACGGGCCCTCGGCCCATGCCTCCCACGTGGGGTCTAGGCAGGCGGGGGCGGGGGGGACGCGCCGCATCGCCGACGCGTCTCGATGCGGAGCCCGGTTTTCCCCACCTCGACGGTGGCGATGTACCGCCGACGTCGCCGATGCATCGGCGATGCAGTGGCGATGCGCCCCAGGCCCTACTTTGGAAGCCTCCATGCACAGACAGGTTTGGATCAAGCAAGTCGCGCACCACTATGTGGTCGAGGGCTCTGGACGCTTGGGGCTTGGGGAGGTCCGGTCTTGCCCTCGGGGTCCTTTCGGCACGCCTTCGCGTGGTTGCCGACGAGGATGACGGGGAGGAGAAGAGATGAGGACTGTCGCTCAAGGAGAGGAGGAGCGCACAGATGCGGTGGTCACGCCCTTCCCCTTGGGAGCGTGGGCGCCACGCTGGGGCCTTCACCATGGGCCACGCCGTCAGGGAGGGGGGCACATCGCCGATCCAAGAGATCCGCGTGGTTATCCAGCAGGTTACGTCTATGCTATGCCGAGTTCTTGTCTTCTGTCAAGAGTTTTGGTAGATTCGCTCCGCGTCGACGCGGCGGCGGCCCCAGCGCGGGCGTTGAGTGTTGAATGCCGCCGTTGGCTTCGAGTCGGCCAGCTTCGGGCGACCTGCCCTGTCGGAAATCCGCGATCGTTCAAGGCTGCACAGCCGTCGCGATGTCAGACACTCACCACTTGGGTCGTCACGGCACGAAATTGTCGTGCGTGTTCCGCCTCTGTCTCCAGGTTTGGGTAGGCCGTAGGCCACCTCGAGGTGGGCATGCATTCGATCTTCGGATGAGCATGACCCGCAGCTGCAAAGCTATAGTCAACATGAAGAGGAGGAGGAGGAGGAGGAGGATGAAGGGGATGTAAAAGGGATAATGAGACGGACAAGAAAGGAGGAGGAGAAGCAGGAGGAGGAGATGGAAAGGGATGAGCAGGGTGGAGGAGGACGATGAGGATAAGGGATGAGGTTGGAGGGGCAGTAGGAGGAGGATGAGGAGGAGGCAGGCAGGGCTATCCTGTGCGCGTGCTTTTCTCCCTGCCCTCCTTGGACTCTTCTTCTTCCTCCTTCCGAGTGCTTCCTGGGACCCCGCAGGACCCATACCATACTGATGATGTAGAGCGTTCTCAAGCCATGACACATCTACGCTCCTCCCCGTCCTCCCCCTCCCTCCTCGCCTCCCCCTCCCGCCCTTCTCGTTGCCTCCCAGCGACGTAGGATCGAAACGCATCGAGCCGAGGCCCGCAGGCGCCGTCACGCACGGCGTGCGCCTTGGACCGCCCAAGGCCCGTCGCTTTGCTTCGGACCTTTGGCCGCGTGGATCGCGGGCCAGCTGGGCCCTTGAGGGCTCGAGAGCTTCAGCGAATCAACCGATCATGGGCCGAGTCCACCGTGCCGCCTCATTTGCCTTCCTCCCCCTCTCGCTCACGACTGAACCTCGCCGAGGAGGGGTGCTACAGGGCCATCGACGCCGCGTACGCTTACCTCAAGGAGAAGGTGGCTCGCGCCAGTCGGACAGGGGAGGAGGAGGAGAGGCTATGATGACGGGGGAGGGGAAATGATGAGGCGGTCTGGCTTGTATTCTGTTCGCATCGTTGTCAAACGACTTGAGGGACCCCCTCCCCGCGTCGACACGGGAACACCTCGAGCAGAGCACGGTATTCGGATGAGGACAGGGAAACGGATCCAACTCGTTCTTCCTCCTCCCATCCCCAAGGAAAGAGGAAGTCAATCAGAGGAGGAAGAGGAGGGAGAGGGAGGAGGAAGGAGGTGGATTTGCATACATGTCCGCTTCCTAGGCACATGGTCGAGAGGCCCTGCACGCGTCACACCAAACAACGGACAGATTTTGAGCGAGCATTCCTCAGGATGCTGTGGAGCCAATGGGAACGGGGGACGGATGAGCGAAGCAAGGGGAGCAAAGAGAGGAGAAGAGGCCCGATCATATTCACAGTAAAGGGGAGGATGAGGATGAGGAGGAGGTGGAGGAGGAGAAGGAGGAGGAGGAGACGGAGGAGAAGGAGAAGGATGATTTGGAAGGTTTGGGAGTCCTTCCTGTTGGGGTTCTTGTGGTCAGGGGCCAGGATGGAGAGGAGGAAGAGGAGGAAGAGCAGGTCGAACAGGCGGAGGAAGAGACGGACCTGTAGAGGGATGAGGATCAGCAGCAGGGAGAGCTTGAGGTTGAGGAGGACGCGAAGAGTATGGCTTTTCTGGTTCCCTCGTGTGAACGCATCGAAGGACAGGTGACGCACGCCTTCCTGGGCGGACCTCTCTTGATGCCTGTTTGGGTCTCGTTGGGGTGAATCATGGTTTTCCTCCTCTTCGCGCCTCCTTGACGTGAGAGCTCCACGTCAAACTGGGAGGCGTTTGTCTGACCAGTTGGAGGAATGAGGGTACCATACTGAAACCACGCAGAAGGTTGTCGTTTCCTTATTCGTTGCTTTGCCGATCGGCGTGGGCCCTCGCACCCCCCCCCCCCTCCCCCCCCCCCCCTGGGGTAGACCTTGGCTGTGTTTGGCGCTTGCTTCGGGCAGGTGGAGTCTCCCCCATAGGACGCACTGCTGCAAACAGTCGCATTATGCATTGGTCCAGCGCCAGACCCCCCCCCCTTCTGCCCATTGTCGACACGCCGGATAAGAACACGTTCACAAGACAGAGGAGGGAGATGGGAGGAGGCGAGGCAAGGAGAGGCGCATCGGGGACGGGATCCCCCCCATATTGCATTTGGTCTCATCGCTTGTGCATTCGCTTTCTCCCCTCCCGCTGCCTCTTCCCCTCAAGCCTTTCTGCCGTGAACAGTTCATGGCCGCCTGGGTGCACGCTGCAGGCGGGTGGGTTCTCGGCGCGCTCTCCGAGCGCTGGACTGGACCTGGCCGCAGCGGGATCGCCGAGGTCTCCTGCCGCTGCGTGTTCGAGGGTTCGGACACGACCGACGGCCTGGTGGCCATCCTCCGGGAGCAGCTGGCACGCTGCGGCCCGGAGCACCTGCAGGGGGTCGCGTGCCAGCCCTGCCCTCCGTGCCCGCTCCCGCCTGGGCACTACACGGGGCTCGACCTCTGCGGCGCGGCCGTGGTGGGCGTGGCCCTTGGCGCTGGGCTGGCGACCGCGGGTTGGCTGGCGGCGGGCTCGCCTGGACGGCCGGCGGCGCGAGCGCGCGCCCTCGCCGTCGAGGACGACGCCGGCGGCACGCACGTGGCGACACCGTCGGGTCTCGGGCGTGGCCGTCGGGTTCCTGGTGCTCGTGCTGACTGAGGGCCGCCATGGCCCGTGCGCTGGACACCCCGTTCAGCCAGTGCCTCGTCAGGTACGAGGACGACGAGAACTTCCAGTGGCATCACCGTGTGCTGCTGGTGAAGGGAGATGCCCAGAAGTGGATCTGGCTCACGCCGGATGGGGAGGTGGCCTTCGTCGACCTGGCCACGTTCCGTGTGCTGGCCCTTCGGCGGTCGGGCCCCTTCCCGGCGCGGCATGCTGGCAACATCTACGCCTTCGACGAAGTGGCGGCGGAGGACATGCAGGGCTACCTCGAGGAGGCCAGGGCCCTGGGGACGATCCTCGGGTTCGACCTCGCCGGCGTCGTGGGCCTCCCCGGGGACAAGTGGTACGTGAGCGACCCCACCTCGTCGCACTTTGGCGAGGAGGTGCCGCCGCAGGTCCTCGCCAACGAGGAGGTCCTGGTGCGGCGTGGGGATGTTGGGCTCGTACGGCTCGACGACGTCTGGGTCCACGCGATCAAGGTGAGCGAGGGCCAGAACTTCGACACGTACCTCGCCCGAGCTCGCGGGGGCGCGGGCCGGGACCCGCGCATCGTGGGCGACGAGAGGGACCAGGATGGAGGCAGGTACATCGACTTCCGGGACTCGGTGCGCCGCATGAAGGAGGCGACGATACCGGGCTGGCCTCTGCAGGGCCGCCGTGCGACGAGGGAGGCTGTGCTTTCCCTTCGAGACGGTGGTCAGGGCAACTGGGAGGAGCACCACACCACGTGGCTCCGCCGCAGCGGAGTGGCCGAGCGCGGCAACGTCGCCCGGGAGCACCACGTGATCTGCGTGTCTCTTCGGATGATGCAGCAGTTCGATCAGCTCGACCTGTTCAACATTGCGGGCGCGGAGTATCTCGTCAGGCGGCTCAAGCAGCTGGAGTCGGCGACCCGCAAGAACCCTCGGGCCCCCGACTTCGAGGGGCTCGACCTCATCCTCGACACGGGGGTCGACGACACGGGCGGCATGGTGCTGCCGGAGTTCGACGGATGGGTTGGCGACCAGGCGCGTGCCCGCGCCCAGACCATGAAGGCGAATCGGCAGTGGCAGGAGGAGAGGACGGCCGCGCAGCCCAAGGCGCCCCCGAAGGGGCCGAAGGGTGGCGGGGCCGACGGTGGCAAGTAGCAGGGGGCCGGGCGGCCCCCTTCTTGGGCTGGGCGTCCTGCGGCGCCCCGCCCTGCCTGGCTGCCGCCGCGGGTTCCTCCGCCGCGGCCGCCTCCTCGTCCTCCCCATGGCATCGGGATCGCGCTCCTCGCACGGGGACCCGCTGCCGCTTTCGGTCCCGGGGCCTGCGCCGCCGGTCGACCTCAGCGGGGCGCCGCGGTACCTGCGCCAGCGGGTGCTCCAGCGACGCTCACGTGAACACCGTGTTCGTGAGGCAGTACATTCGATCAACTGTCTCGCCGCCTGCACGGTGCGCCATCGTGGCCGCGGGCCAGGTGGCGCTGCCGATTCAGGGACTGCGGGTACGGCGACCTCGTCCTCGTGTGGCCGGCAGCTCGGCCGCTGCGTGGCGGAGTATGGCCCTCGCCCGGCAGATCTCCACCCTCGCGGAGCCCTTCAGGAGCTCCTCAAGTCCGACTCGCTCTACGGAGGCGCGCCGTCCAAGGTCGTCCCGTACGAGGAGTCCAAGCTCAAGTTCTGGCAGTCCTCGGTCACGCCTCGAGACGTGGAGGAGGTCTGCCCCAAGTTCGTCGTCGACGCCTTCCGCGACCCCGACGCCTACATCCGCAAGCCGGGCCGCGTGGTGGAGCAGGACCTCGAGCTCCTGCCGCCGATCAAGCCGTACTGGGACGCGCGGCTTGCCAGCGACGCCAGCCATCGGCGGGGCTTCCTTCTCAGGCTCGCGGGGCGGGGGCTGGTCGGCTTCCGGAGGCGAATCAGGTCACGTGTGGGGTGTTTCTTCGTCGAGAAGAAGGGCGGCTGGATCCGCCTGGTCGTCGACGCTCGCGACACCAACCGCACCCACTGGGCGCCGCCGCATGCCGCCCTCGGGGCCCCGGCTGCCCTCAGCGAGCAGGACTGGTCCGATGCTGCGCTCTCGGACGCTGGATGGGTTAGCGCTGATGGAGATCTTCGGGTCGTCCCTCGACCTCCAGGACTCGTTCTACCAGTTCTTCTCGGAGCGCGTCGCGGAGGATTTCGGGATGGACTTCCCTGAGCGGGCCTCCTACTACCAGGTCTCCCACATCTGGACGCCCGACGGCCTGTCCCCTGTCGACCCCGACGAGCTCGTCTTCCCGGTCTTCCGCGGGGTGCCGATGGGGTGGTCATGGGCACTCTGGGCCGTGCACTCGTCCGTCACGTCCTGGGTCTCTGACACGCTGCCGGGGGGTGCCCGACGCCTGCTGCTCGACAAGCAGCCGGCTCCCGTCGCGGCACCCTTCCGCCCCACAGGGTCGGTCTACGTGGACAACGTCTCGTTCCTGGGCCTTTCGAGCGACGACGTCGGGCAGGCGCTGCAGGCCGCGAAGGACAAGCTCGACTCGCTCGGCATCGCGTACCACGAGGTCGAGGGCCCGGCCACGCACTTCACCACCGTCGGCGTCGAGTACGACGGGAGGCGGAGGCGTCTGCGTCATTCCGATCACCGAGCCTGGCGCCTCTACTTGGCCTGTCAGGAGCTCGAGCGCCCAGGGGTTCCGCGCGCGGCCTGGCAGATCCGAGTGTTCCTCGGGCACTGTGTGCAGCACTGCCTGCTGCTGCGGCCGGCCCTCTCGATCTTCCGCCTGCTCTACCGCTTCGTGGACGCGCAGGGCCAGGGGCCCCCAGTCGCTCTGTCTGCTGGGGCCCGCCGGGAGATCCAGCTCTTCAGGGGCCTCATCTTCCAGGCCGTCGTCTTCTTGGACCGGCCGATGTCCTCCCTGGTTTTGTGCTCCGACTCGTCCGAGGCGGGCTACGCTCTCCACCGCCGACGCGCTGACGTGCGACTCCTTCGGCAGCTGGCTGCTACCCGGGAGAGGTGGAGGTTCGTCCCCGACGAGAAGCGGCCCGACGCGGCGCTCGACGACACCTTCTCCCCGGGCTGGGTGCCGGGCGCTGGAGGAGTGCTGGGGGGGCCGCCGGGCGCTGCAGGCGTGGCCGTCTGGGCCCCCCCGCCGACGCGCTCGAGGGAGGGCGCCCGAGGCGTACTCAAGGGTCGTCTCAGGCCCACTGTGCGACCTGCTGGCGTCTCCGTGCCCGACAGCCTCGTCGATCCCAGGGACTGGCCTCTCATCGTGGAGGGCGCCTGGCGCCGCGGGGCCCCCATTCACCTGCTGGAGGGCCGCATCGCCCTGGGGGGCCTGCGGCACGCCGCCCGGCAGGTCGACTGCCACGGGTCCCGCGTGCTCAGCCTGGGCGACAACATGTCGGAGCTCCTCTCCATCGAGAAGGGGCGGGCCGTGGACCTCGGCCTCGCCTGTCTGTGCCGGAGGGCCGCCGCCTACCAGATCGCCTGTGGGATCTCCTGGCGGCGCCGACACCTCGACACGGACCGCAACCTCAGTGACGCGGGGTCGAGGAAGGCGCTGCAGGGCGTCTACCGCCCAGGGCAGCGGCGGGTTGGCGGCAGGTCGGACAGGCCCGCTCTGCCCGCGGGCTGCCCGCCGCCGGCGCCCCCGACGCCGGCCCCGCCGGCGCCCTCGGCGACCGCCAGCTGGCCAGTCGCCGAGGAGGCTTGCGAGCCCCCCCCCGCGGCGCGGCTGCGCGGCGGCCGACTTCAGACCTGCCCGCCGCGGCCGCCGCCGCGGGCTGCTGGAGCTGCTGGCCGCTGCGGGCCGCGGCGCTCCCCACGGCCACAATAGGGGCCCGCAGCCGGCGCCCCTGGCCACCCTGCACGCAAGGCGACGTTCGACGAGGCCGACGGGGCCCGCGACCTGTCGCCGCCGGCGGCCTGCCCACGCGGGCGCCGCCCACGGCCGCGGCCAGTGCCTGCGCCGCGGCCTGCTGGGGCCCTCGGACGAGTTGGACGGAGACTCGTGCCGGGGCCTCGGCTGCTCTCTTCCGAGCGGGCCTCGCCACGTCTTGGCCGCTCCGGGCCGCGCACGCGCGCCGGGAGCGCGCCGCGCGGGCCGCCTGCCCTCGGGAGCCTTCGTTTGCATGCCCGGCCTGGCCGGAAATGGACGACAGAGCCTCCCGGGCTGCCGCCCCCTCCGCCCACGCCGTTCGTCGCGGTCGAGCCGGCTCGTGTTCCTGTACCTCGGCTTCGTGGACGTCGGGCGGCTCTCGAGATCTTCTCGGGGGGGGCTCGCTGGGCGGGGGCTCTCGCGCAGCTCGGTCTGGCGGTCGCGGCTCCGATCGACATCAAGTTCGGGGGTTGGGGCGACCTGCTTCGGCCCAGCATCGAGACCGTCGTTCGCCAGTGGACCGTCTCTCGCAAGGTCTGGTTCGTGCACTTCGGGACTCCGTGCACTCCGTGGTCAGTTGCTCGCCGTGGGGCCAATGATACGTCTGCTATACGCGCCGGTCGGCGGTGTGCTCATGTCACTCTTCGTCTACTTCGGTTGTGCGTTCAGTTCGGCGTCAGGTGGTCCCTCGAGAACCCCCGGGGATCCCGGCTCTTCTCTTGGGAGCCTCTTCAGAAGTTCCTGTCCGAGCATAGCAAGGTCTCCGTGGTGTATGACTGCTGTCAGTTTGGAGCCCCGTACCAGAAGCCCACCAGGATTGAGTCTGACCTCCCCGAGCTCGGTGTCCTTGAAAGGCGTTGTCTTGGAGGCCATGCCCACGAGCATCTTCAGGGGAAGGTCAAGGTCCGTGATCGCCAGGGTCGGCTCAAGCAGTTCTGGCGCACGACCCTGGCTGGTGCCTACCCTCCTGGAGTCTGCCACAGCGCCGCCCGGGCCTTGGCGCGCGCGGCGCCGGCTGGAGCCTGGCGACCAGATGGGGATCCACTGCTGCCCGGTCACTGGGAGGCTCAGCTCCGCCGTGCAGCCAAGATGGTCGACGTCCAGCCGTCCCTCGAGTGCCCCAGCTGCCCGCGGAAGTGGGTCGCGCTCTGGCCGCCGGACGCCGAGGGGTGGGGCCGCTTCGTCGGCCTCCCGCGGCCGCGGGCGAGGCCGAAGCCTCGGCAGAGGCCGGGCGTCGGCTGCCCGGGCCCGCCAGGTGCCCGCTGACTCCTCGCCGGGCTTCCTGCGGCGTTCGCAGGTGCGGCCGGCCACTCAGGCCCGCTACCTCGCCAGCGTCGCCGTGTTCGCCACGGCCATGGGCGTCGTCGCCGACCGCTGGGTGAGCAATGACCACCCCCTGGTGGACACGCTCCTTGAGGAGTACTTCGAGCAGCTCTACGTCGACGGCGGCAGCAAGAGCACGGCCCGCTACACCTTGGCCGCCTTGGCCTACCGTTTCAGCGTGTCGCTTCGTGCCCCAGGCGTCTTCCCGAAGGCGAAGGGCGCCCTCGCCGGCTGGGGCAAGCTCGAGCCGGACGTCACCTCGGAGCCGCTCTGCTGGGCGGCAGCGTGCTTGATGGCTCTGTACCTGGCCGGCCTCAACACGGAGATTGCCCTGCAGGCCGCCCGCGGCCTGGTGGTGCAGTTTGACACGTACTTGCGCCCTGGTGAGCTGCTGGACCTCCGCGTGCCCTGCTGCATCCTGCCGCAGCCGAGTGCCGGCTCAGGGTACAACAAGATGGGGCTCGTCGTCGGCGCCTCCGCGCTGGTCATGGGCGACGACGTGCACACGCGCGTCACCAAGACTGGCCTCCAGGACGACACCGTGCTCATCGATGGCCAGTCTCGTGCGGGTGTGGCTGGCGCGCTCATGGCCCTCGTCAAGAGCGCCAACCAAGCCCGCCAAGGGCGCCTCTTGTTCCTCCACTCGTACGCTTCGTACAACCGCTTGCTCAAGAAGGCCGCCGTCGCCGTCGGCCTCCCGACCAAGGTGACAGCCCACCTCCCTCGGCACGGCGGTCCGTCGGAGGACTACCTGAGAGGCGCCCGCTCGCTGGCCGACATTCAGTCTCGTGGCAGGTGGTCGAGCTTCCGTTCTGTACAGCGCTATCAAAAGAGCGGCCGTGCTCTTGCATCCTTCAGACGCCTCTCGGCCGCTGTGAAGGCAGAGGCTAAGCGTGCTGAGGCCTTGCAGTTGTCCTTCCTCTCGTAATGTGCCTCTCTGCGCTCAGCCTGCTGCAATGTTCCCTCGGCATGCCAATGGAGTCGATATGGGATTTACTCCAGCGTTTGATATGGGTTTGATTAATGGTCTGGCCAGACTGTCAGATTTCTCGAGCCCCCTCGGCCTCGTGGGCCAGGGGCTCTCAGTGTTTCAGCTCTGCCGTCAGCCGCCATCGCAAGTGCACTCAGGCGTGGGCCTGAGCTCCGGCGCCTGTAAAAAGAAATGAAAGTCCTCGTCACGCCCGCTGTCTTTTTCCGTTAGGCTGACGCCGTTCCGAGTCTCTTGGGACCCACGCCCTGGGAGGGGTGTCCGTTCAAGATTGCATTGCATTTGGTCTCATCGCTTGTGCATTCGCTTTCTCCCCTCCCGCTGCCTCTTCCCCTCAAGCCTTTCTGCCGCCCCGCCCTTCCCACCCAGGGAAACGCTGGAGGAGAGGCAAAGTAGCTTGGACTTCTGCGAATTCGGGTTTGATTAATGGTCTGGCCAGACTGTCAGATTTCTCGAGCCCCCTCGGCCTCGTGGGCCAGGGGCTCTCAGTGTTTCAGCTCTGCCGTCAGCCGCCATCGCAAGTGCACTCAGGCGTGGGCCTGAGCTCCGGCGCCTGTAAAAAGAAATGAAAGTCCTCGTCACGCCCGCTGTCTTTTTCCGTTAGGCTGACGCCGTTCCGAGTCTCTTGGGACCCACGCCCTGGGAGGGGTGTCCGTTCAAGATTGCATATTTATATATATATATACACGTATATGTATGTGTATATATACATATATATACGCATAGACACAGATATACACATACAGTTGCATACATACAGGCATGCAGACATACATGCATCCATACGCGCGTACATGTATGCATGCATACACACAGACATGCACACATATACAGGCATTCATACGTACACGCATACCTACATGCACACATACTTACGTACACACATACCTACACACCTATATACATACATGCACACATACGTATATACGTACACATATACATGCATGCATGCATCCATGCATACATACATGAGCATACATACATATATATATACGTAGACGCATACATGCACACGCATACATTACACACATACATACACACATGCATACACACATGCAGACACATATACACAAATACCTACATGCATGCAATCATGCATACATACAAACATGCATGCATGCATACATACATACATGTTTGCATGTATGTATGTATACATACATAACTCCATATATACATACATACATACATGCATACAGACATACAACCATATACGCGTACATACATACGCACCTACACATACATGCACACATACATACATAAATACATGCATGCATACATACAATATTCATACATCCATACATACACGCATACATGCATGCATGCAGCCATACATGCATGTAGTTTCGGGCCGAACTTCACTCGCATTTGCGGGCCGATTCTCGTTACATGTTCGTTGCTTGCTGGCGCGCCGATGAAAAAGTACCAGGGACGTACCCAACCTTTTGTACACATGAGGCGACTATACAACGGACCGTTCAATACAGAAGCGAGCATTGAAGGATCCGCCGTGCCCTTGAACGATTCGACATTGAACGTCGGGCCAGAGTCACATGTTCACATATGCGGCGCCGAGAGGGAGTGTGGAAACGCAATAAGGAGAGACGATCGGGCTCACAATTCGTTGGAGCAGCGCCGCTGAATCCCCAAGCGTCGCAACCCAGCCCCCCAGAGGACGGCGAGGTCTCATGGGCATCTGCGTAAGACGCACATCCGCTGAGCCTACCAGGAGCCCACGAACGTGGCGACAGTTTCGCAGATCGCAGCCCCCCAGGTGACGGCGAGGTCTCGCGGTGAGCTGCGTAAGACGCACCTCCACTGGGCCTCCCAGGAGCTCACGAAACTGACGACAGTTTCGCAGATCGCAGCCCCCCCCAGGGGACGGCGAGGCCTCATGGTGATCTGCGTAAGACGCACATCCGCTGAACCTCCCAGGAGCCTACAAAAGTGGCGACAGTTTCGCAGAGTGCGGCCCTCCAGGGGCCGGCGAGGTCTCGCGGAAATCTGCGTAAGACACATTTTTGCTGGGGCTCCCTGGAGCCCACGAAAGTTGCAAAATTTTCGCAGATCGCAGCCTCCCAGGGGACGGTGAGGCCTCATGGTGATTTGCGTAAGACGCAGCTCCGCTGGGCCTCCCAGGAGCCCACGGCACCTCCGCTGCGCAAGTGACGACACCCGAGCGAGCCGCGGCACGAGGCAGGCACAGCGGGAGGAGAGGGAGGACGGAGAACAGACGAGGCAGGAGGGAGAAGGAGAAGAGGAGGGGGAGGATGGGGCAGACAGTGCTTTTCCAAAACGAGTACCCAACCAAGGATGGGTTGGTAGCAAGCATTCAAGCTATACATATATATATGCATATATATACACATGCAGTAATGTATGTATGTATGTACGTATGTATGTATGTATGCATGCATGCATGCATGCATGTATGTATGTATTTATATATGTATGTGTATGTTTGTATGCATGCATGCATGTATGTATGTATGCATGCATGAATGTGTGTATATAGGTATGCGTATGTATGTATGATGTGGTTACGTATGTAAGTATGTATGTATGTAAGTAAGTATGTATGTGTGTATGCATGCATGCATGTATGTATGTATAGATGCATGCATGTATGCATGTATGCATGTATGCATGTAAGCATGTATGCATGGATGCATTGATGCATGCATGAATGTATGTATGTGTGTATGTATGTATGTAGATAGGCATGTATGTATGTATGTATGTATGTATGTATGTATGTATGTATGTATGTGTGTATGTGTGTATGTGTGTATTTGTGTTTATGTATGCATGTATGCATGTATGTATTCTGTATGTATGTATTTTGTATGTATGTATGTCTGTCTGTATGTATGTATGTATGTTTGTATGTATGTATGTATGTATGTATGTATGTATGTATGTATGTAGATAGGTATGTATGTATGTATGTATATATGTAGGTGCGTATGTATGTGTGTATGGGTGTATGTACGTATGTGTATTGGCGTATGTATGTACGTACGGACGTAGGTAGGTAGGTAGGTCGGTCGGTCGGCAGGTAGGTAGGTCGGTAGGTAGGTAGGTAAGTATGTATGTATAATTGATATATATATATATACAGAGAAAGGGTGAGAGAGAGAGAGAGAGAAACAAAAAAATCCCCGTGCACGAGGCCAGGGGCCCGGGGCCCGGGCCACGGGGGGGCATGGGAGGACCGGGGTTTCCCAGACCGCTCCCAGAGCACCCCGGAGCGGCCCTGGAGCTCCCAGACTGCCCCAGAAAGCTCCAAGGCGCTCCCAGAAGCCCCCAGGAGACTTCGACAAGCCCTTCCAAGACAGCCAGATAGCCCCAACGCGGCCTCAGATGGGTTCCAGACCGCAAATCCAGCCCCAGAGGCCTCCAAGATGCCTCCAGTGACCTCCGAGAGACGTCTCGAGAGAGCCCGAAGAGGCCAAAATCCTTGATTTTCATGTGTTTTCCCAACCCTCCCTGGTTGGGCATTTGTTTAGAAAATGCACTGTGGTCTCCGTCCTTCCTTCTCTCCTTCCCGCCTCCTCCCTGCCTCCTCCTTTCTTGCCTTGGGGGGGGGGCTTGCGATTTGTGAAATCGTCGCCACTTTCGAGGGCTGCTGGGGGGTCCAGCACAGGGACGTCCGACGCGGATTCAAATTAGACCTCGCCGTCCCTTGGGGGCTGCGATCAGTGAAGCTGTCGCCACTTTCGAGGGCTGCTGGGGGGTCCAGCGCAGTGACGTCCTTCGCGGATTGAAACTAGGCCTCGCCATTCCTGTGGGGGCTGCCCTGGGGGGGGCTGCGATCAGTGAAACTGTTGTTATTTTTGAGGTCTGGTGGGCGGTCCAGCACAGTGACGTCTTACGCTGATTCAAACTAGACCTCGCCATCCGTGGGTGGTTGCGATCAGTGAAACTGTCGCCATTTTCGAGGCCTGCTGGGGGGTCCAGCATAGCGACGGACGTCCTACGCGGATTCAAATTTGATTTCGCCATCTGTAAAACCGCCAGGGTTGCTGGGGGGTCCAGCGCACTGACGTCCTACGCGGATTCAAATTGGTCCTCGCGACTCCAGCACAGTGACTTTCTACGCGGATTCAAACTAGGCCTCGCCATCCCTGGGAGGGGGATGCGATCTGTGAACTTGTCGCCACATTCGAGGGCTGCTCGGGGTCCAGCACAGTGACGTCCTACGCGGATTCAAACTAGACCTCGCCATCCATGGGTGGCTGCGATCAGTGAAGCTGTCGCCACTTTCGAGGGCTGCTGGGGGTCCAGCATCGTGACGGACGTCCTACGCGGATTCAAATTCGACCTCTCCATCCCTTGGGGGCTGCGATCAGTGAAACTGTCGCCACTTTCGAGGGCTGCTGGGGGGTCCAGCGCAGTGACGCCATACGCAGATTATAATTTGACCTCGCCATCCTTGGGGGGGCTGCGATTTTTGAAATTGCCGCCACTTTCGAGGGCTGCTGGGGGGGGTCCAGCACAGTGACGTCCTACGCTGATTAAAATTAGACCTCGCCATCCGTGGGTGGCTGCGATCAGTGAGACTGTCGCCACATTCGAGGACTGCTGGGGTCCAGCACAGGGACGCCCGACGCGGATTCAAACTAGACTTCGCCATCCCTTGGGGGCTGCGATCAGTGAAGCTGTCGCCACTTTCGAGGCCTGCTGGGGGGTCCAGCACAGTGACGTCTTACGCTGATTCAAATTAGACCTCGCCATCCGTGGGTGGCTGCGATCAGTGAGACTGTCGCCACTTTCGAGGGCTGCTGGGGGGTCCAGCGCAGTGACGTTTGACGCGGACTCAATTTTGACCATCCATGGGGGTTTGCGACTTGTGAAATTGTCGCCAATTTTCGAGGCCTGGTGGG